TTACCATGATCTGTAAATTTAATCACAATTGGGTCGATTTACTTGTTCAGCTTTGCTGCATGCATGGAATCCATAAATACTGCTGTGGGTTGAACTCCCACCGAGGCCGCGAATTTTTCACAACTGGGTCAATCGAATTATTGAAATCTATTAAACTCCTAACAGCTAAGATTAGCCCAGTAGTCCATCCAATCGAACCTAGATTATTACTTAGTAAATCCTGCCTGGCAGTCAGCTTACTGTGTCCGTATTGGTGGAGTCCATATGTGCAATAAAGCTGGGCAAGCAAATCAACCCAAGTGTGATTCAGTGCGCGGCGCACGGTGAGCCTCGTAGCTCAAATGGTAGAGCGTTGGCTGCACAGGAGAAAGAACCGAATTTTAGCAATAGGGTTCTATTTCGCCTCGACCAAGCACTTGGTAGGCGCGATTGCTTTATGCGTTTCCAATTAAAAAGTCTTACAGAATCAAAGAGAAGGGAAAATAAAAAGTTCAGATGATTTTGGGTAGTAGACAGTGTTTTCATTTTTCCCGCAACAGTCAGATAAAAAAATAGATAATCCGAGATTCTGTAAAAAAGGCATTGGAGCCGCTTGATAAAGCGCACACAGGATGATACCACCACAAATCATTAAAAAGGTATGGGCTAGCAAACGTTATGCTAAAGGAAGTATTTGGAATAGGGCGCGACGACCTACCAGCACAACTAACGCGAGCGGTCCGAGATAGACCAGGAATGAGAAGCCACCGATCATGAAGATAGACATGAGTGTACGCAGGATCAGATTTGACAATCTCGGCGGTAGACCCTCCACCTGTTTTTCTAAAAAGCCAGGCACATGGGCAGCACCCGCGGACAAGTCACGCACAGCCTCCGGCTCCAGATCGCTAGGGAACGGCGTGTCAGTGGGCTCCTCGTTGGAGGAAGAGTCGGCATCTTTGACATGTATTGGAGGTTCCCGCCTACGCGGTGAACGGGAGGATGACGTTCGAGGGGGACTGGAGTGATCTCCACGTGACTAAACAGAAGCAAACACGGGCAGGTGGTAGTAGCTATGCTTGCGTCGGTTTGGTGACAAAAAAAAAGTGTACTGAACCGTGACATTTATAAAGTTATTACAATTTAGGGTTTTATAAATTTCCCCGGTTGACAATGCTAATCATCCCGAAAATTTTAACAAACAACACTTTAGGTAGATAGGGTTGGGTCGCAATGGCGTACTGGTTACTCCGTTGTTACTGAAAAAAGCCCTTTCATAATCATGCCTAACCAATATTTTGGCATGCATTCTTATTATTCGTTTACTGCAACGACGAGATATAGGAAATCGGCAGTCGTCCTATCAAGAAAGAGAGCCACTATATTTGAGGACGGCAGGAAGGCAAAATCATCTGTTACCTACCGTGCTATAGTTATCTGTAGGCGTGGGTGGCAAAGAAGCTTCAAGTATGTGCAGTTGGTCCAAAAAAAACAGTCGGATAAAGTCAAGCATTAGATACTTTAATTTGACAAGCGGGTTTACACGACTCTTTTCGTCCCCGATACTGAGTGACGAATAAAATTTCACAATGAGTATTTTTCTGCATAGATGACGTAATACTTTTTTTGCAACACTTCCATAATAAACACACTTTTTCAAAAGACCGTCTTATAGTGCATACTTAATTAGGTCGTCCTTATAAAATGCAGTAGGAAGGTGGAGAAAATATCAATTTTGCATTCGCTCACTGTCACCAATTGGTGCCAAACGACTTTGAAAATGAAAACAAGTATCCCTGTTTTATTATGAGCCAATCGAGTATGAGGAACGAATTAAGGACTTTCAAGTCTCTTCAGATATATTCATGTTCAGGTTTATCGACAATTCATGCATCCTCAGAAAAGCATACTGGTAGCGGTGAAAGGATGATTAAGCGAAATTTACTGGCAGCATATAGTAACTCTAGCCTAACGATAAAAGCTAACAAGTTGGCATCTGTGATACTGCTGAAATTGATCGGAAAATTTGTATACTGTTAATCAAAGATAAAGGCGAATCGAAAGGGTTTCACCAAACAACATAAAGTAAATTCTCGCGAACTTAGACAAATAACACGAAGGACTCGAAATACTTTTTAAAACCATAAAAACTTCTGACTAAGAAAACCCCAATAGCAAAATGGACAGCACACCATCACTCCAAAGCCCCCACAGGCGATTCCCGCAGTTCGTAAGGCTAGGCATGTCCTGAGCCTTTGTCCTTTTTCCACACGAAAGACAGCTGCGCCGCGCCCACAACTTCGTCAACGAAAATCGATAGTGCCTAGGCCTTCCGAGTGCGGCCTTTATCGCAAACGTGTCTGCTTGCTCCTCAGTGGCAAGGGGCGCTATTTGAGGCAGCTAGGCTTAAAGCAACGACGCAGTTTTTATGCTCGTTGTACCTGAGCTTTTGCTGGGAATTTTGCTATCAGGGAAGAGCCTTGAACGCAACAATAATAAATTCAGTACAGTTCTGTCCGTTAAACGTCGACAACTAATGAAATTTGTAAGACAAGGAATTTCTTCGGGAAAATTAAGTTATGATGACGAGGGATTTTGAATTCTTATAGGAGCATTTTATTGATTGACAGTATCAAAGGAATGTCATATGGCAAATACGAATTAGAATGAAACATAACCTTAAAAAAATGGATACATACCATACGCTGCCGGACAGTTTCATCTGCCACCTCCATTACCAAGCTGCAAGCGATTAAGCCAGATTGCGACCTTAACTTTGTAGGACCCGCCCGAATACCAGACTAGTAAACTAATTTGTTGTGCGTAAATGGAGATTCGCGAACGTTTATCTTAAAAACAATAGTTCTGCAATGTTTGGAATTTCTAAAGCAGATTTTATATGCTGAGTGCGCTCGCTTTACTGGTTTTCAACCTCTCCCGGTATAACTCTTGATTCTCCGCATCATTTTCCGGACGGGTATTTTTACAATATGACCAGTGTCCGAAGTCGTATCCAAAGGAACAATGCATACTTCGATGGTCAGCATTAAGACGTTCGACCCCTTAACCATGTTGGGCCACGGTAGTGCTTTCGCCCAAGTACAGTGGAAGCTCGCAGCTCACCAGAGGACAAAGAGAATGCAGAGATTTTATTACCTCCCTGACGAATGACAGCACAGTCGATCATCATGCCGTATCAAAGATGCCATCAGACGTCCCGTAATCTACCCGAAAATTGGGCCTCTTACCATACCTTTTACAAGCCAAAAAACAATGTAGTTTTTTTCATTTCGTAGGAATGCCTTGATGATAGGAATTCTTTGCAGCATTTCAGGCGACTTATCGCAACAAGCGAATCATACACTATTTGCTTGGGAACAAGTAAATGGACGAATGGCTTACGTGCGTTTGAAGGGTCATTTTACAATCACCTCTCCGTGCATGTACAAGCCTTCGCCGCCGAACAGCTTGCTAAGGAAATGTTTTACTCCCAGCTACGGGAATCGGTTGATCTGCTGATTGCTGCCGGGGAATGGAATGGCTGGACTGGGCCTGGTAACTCCCCAAACAGTCATCTTATTGGCCGCTTTGGGCTTGGTTCTCGATGTGAGAATGATAAAAGATTGCTGAACTTTGCTGATCATAACCGATATTTTTTAAGAGTACATACTTCCCGCACCACAACAAACATCTGCTGACCTGGTACTCAAACGATGGTCCTACGGCCATTCAGATTGACTACATTTTAGTTAGTCCAAAGGTCTACGGTTGAATTCATGGTATCAGATCGCTGAGTGTTGCCAAAACTGGCCATGCCAACGGGTCTGAAAATTTTCATGTTCATACACGCTTGAAAGCTACCTTTTATACGCGCCCAACATATGATATTCTGGATGCCTAGATGTTGCGAAAATTTGGCATCCCATCACCGCCGAGGCCCTGTGCAGAGAAACCCGATTCTGTCTTATGACTCCAGCCGACGGAATATTCAGTAGTCAATCTTCATTACTGAAAATATCCGGTGTATGTAGCAAATATGAAAATTCCTGGACTCAGCGAAGCTACGTTGATTGAATCAGCTGAAGAACCCTACAGTTTCCTGCTTTATTGCTGACAAACCCACCGAGGTCGAGCGCCGGCTTAAGCACTTCGAAGACCTCCTCAACCTCGCTGTCGAACTTCGCGTCCCCTCTCTCCCATCTACAGCGAGTTCTCTTCTCTCTTACCTATCCAGTGTCATGCGACCAACCTTTCGAAGGAGAAGTCACCGATGTCATACAAATGCTGTGCAAAAACAAAGCATCTGGGGAGTCTACAAATCTTGTGTCGACACTATGGCACCCGGGCTCCCTGTGGTTGTTGAACAAAATTATTGAGATTTTGATGTGACAAATAGGGAGTTCAAAGTCGCAAGCTTATTTTCTCCTCAGCTATACTAACTGACTGGCATGCAAGAAGAGACGAGGCCGTTTCTGATGATTAGGGCACACACATTCTTGTACCTGTCCACAAAAAGGGAGAGGGGACTATGTGCGAGAATTACCGCGGCGTTGTTGCGACGAACATCGCTGTTGTACTACTGGGACGATTTCAGTCTCTGCCTAACTCTAGGACGAGTCCCAACCAGCCGAATTCTGCGTTAGGCCTGGATGTGCGGACCAAATGTCCACTCTGAGATGGATCCTTGTATTCCGTCATATGCTTTGTTGACATTGCTGCAGCGTTCCCTTCCGTCTCCCATGAGT